AAAAAAAAAAAAAAAAAAAAAGGATTACTGAAAGATCTTATGCAATTGGAAGCTATACCAGTTTTAGTTGTGGTCTTGAGAGATGAAATCCATTTCATCAGCATGGAAAATGCATTCGAGAACAACCCATTAACAATTCCTGGCCAAAACACACACACACACACACACACACACACACATTTTAGAATCAAAATGAACAGAAGGCTCTAGATAAAACCTCAGATACATATAAAGGCTTCTGCAAAAGCAGATATACACATAACAGCCTATTATTCTGTGTGTAGATATACTTACTGGCAGGTGAGGAAGGGGCAGAAACAGAATAAGCACCACCGACGAGAAGAAGAAGAAGAGTGACAAGCAGAACAAAAACGCTGTTCCCCATTTTCAACGCCATTTTTTAGATTTGTGAAGAAAGAGAGTATATATATGTATAATAATGGAGCTCACTGCTCACGGAATTTGTTCAAAAATGGAGGTGGGAGCTCAGCATTGCCGTAAATCAAAACCCTAGCAGGAAAAGGGAGAGCGGGTGAAAGGGTTTTTTGTGGGTTTAAAGAGATTCCTGATGAAAAGGAGCTTGAGAAAAAGATTTGGAGAAAAAAAAAATAAAAATAAAAAAGAAAAAGTGGTGGAATTTTATTGAAGAGTGAGCTATGGAGTGAGAGACTGAGAATTAGTTGATGACAGAGAGAGAGAGAGAGAGAGAGATGAAAAAGAGAGGAAATGAATGAGAGAGAGAGAGAGAGAGAGAGAGAGAGTGGTTGTGGGTGGAGGGCCACTGCTTAAATTATTATTTATTATTTAAAGAAAAATAATGACATACAGAATCATATGCTGTTACTGTGTGTGGGTTTTTATATGTGTGTGTGTGTGTTAATCTTGTTACATCAGAAAAAGGCACTATAAAATCTATCTTTTTTTTTTTTTTTTAATTTTTTGTATTATATTAGCAAAGTCTCTGTGTGTGAGAGAGAAGATAAAATTTGTTTTGTCAGCAAATCACTGTGTGTTTTCTGTACTGTAGACACTGGACACAGTAGTCCCGCTCACCTGTCCACGGTAGGCAGTGCCCACCACTTTGTTTTATATGAAAAACGTATTCTGAGAATACGTTTTTCAATTATTATTAATTGAAAAACGTATTCTCAGAATACGTTTTTCATATAAAACAAAGTGGTGGGCACTGCCTACCGTGGACAGGGGATCAAAATTTGGACACAGAAAGGGGTATATATTTGCATTTTTTTTTTTTTTTTTGGCAAAGTAATATCAAATTAGTTTTGTAATCTTGTCTATGGAGTGGGTTGTGTGAAATCTATGTTTGATTGTTTGATAAATCAAAGTGGAAAAGGCAACGGCCCATATCAATTGAACATAATAATTAGAGAAATTTATTTATAATTGTTTAGGCAAATAATATTTTACAAATATGAAGCCACAAAGTTATCATCATAATTACATTTTTTTTTTTTTTGTAATTAAAAAAATTAATATGGCAAGACTTTTTTTTGTGGTCTGAGTTACTCTTGCATGATTTTCAGGAAACGTTACCATTTTACACTTGTTGTTATGCAAAATTGTATCAACATAAATATACACTCCTATTCTGTGAATAATTGGTGTAAGATAAAAATGAATTTTTTGTGATTTTCGGGAGATGAGGATCTATCCCCTTTTCTTGATTTTTTGGTGTGTTGAATTTTTGGGTAACTGAAAGAAAAAATGGAGGAAAATTGATCAAGCAAGGAGAAGAAGGAAGTATTCTTCTTATTCTCCTCCAAAGCACCGCCTATGTTCGGATTCATGAAAGGAAAAGAAAGACCCCCTCAGACTTATCCAATTGCCCATCATAGGGGGTATTTATATTCGTTTTGTTCGGCTCTGATGTTATTACAAGCGGTGTTATTTTGGGGCTTTAAAAATAAGATTAAATACGACAATTGATTTAATACATATCCACGTGTAATATCTTAATAGGCGGGCCCAAAATTGGGTATCAACAACATTCAATCGAAAAGAAAAGAATAAAATCAGTTTTAATCTCTCTCCATATATCTCGGTTACTTTGTATCATAACTTCATCTATCTCCAAAAAAACTTCATCTTCCATACACACAAAAACGGAACTCCTCTAAGTGAAAAGTTGAAAAATGGCAAAAAAAAAAAAAAGAAAAGAAAAAATTAGGCCAAATCCTCCAACAGCGAAGACGCAGCAAGATTAACTCGCTCCCGATCTCGTAACACGTCTTAATTTCAACCTCTCAAGCGCAAGGTTGTACAGAAAAAAGCTCCAATTTCAGAAAATGGAAGCTATGAGCCATGCCAAAAAGCCAAATATGAAAACGGCCGAGGTTGAGTCGGACGACGACGACGATTTTGTGTCTGAACAGGAAAAAAAATCACTATCCACAATCCACTATGCACTTACTAAGGGCATTATGGTCATTGCACATTTATCCACTATTATTGTGGGCCCCACCAGTCACAATAAAATTCATACATCTCTCTATCTCTCTCACACGCAAACACACACTCAATACACACTCACGCACTCACGACACACACACACACAATCGCACATTTAGAATCGCCGGCGACCACCTTCCTTCCGCCGGCGGTGTCGCCGGCCACCACCTTCATTGCGCCTGCATCATCATCGTCTTCAGCCAGTTGGTGTCAACGGCCACCGGGTGCAGCTTGCAGACGACATCCGACATCGACCAACACAAATCGCGACCACCGACAAGGCGACCGCCACCGCCGTCCGCCACAACCGTCACCGTCAATTTGACTTCGTCGTCGATAGAATATGATATGCTGGCGTCCACGTGTTGCTCGACCTCTCATCCGCCACCGTCAAATGAACGAGCACCTAAAGCCCTAACCCCCAAATTCACTCATTTGTTAATTCAAAATTAGATCGAAGATGTTATGAGGATTTAGACCACCGTCGTCTGGCTATGTCGCGTGAGAGAGCAGCTGCGACGGGGATTATGTGAAATGCGGCAGGAGGCGTGAGAAACGAGTGACTGGATTTGGAGGGCTGTTTGTTGAGAATTAAATATGTTTCTAGCGCTACCCAAGAGCGCTTGGATGAGATGGCTTGGGTCTCTTCCAGCTTAACCAGTGGTCTCGAGTTCGAGCCCTGAGAATGCAGCAGTGTTAAAACTCTTGAGGGAGAACTTTGCCGCCCTTGTGGTCCTACCCGGCTCGATTTCGGATTAGTCGGTTCCCCTGTGGATCCAGAAACCGGAAGGTCCCTGTACCAAAAAAAAAAATATGTTTCTAGCGCTTGTTCGCAATTTTATAAGTTTAATATATTACAATTTGAGTCCTAGGTCAAATTGGCAATTTAATGAAAAATATAATTAGTATTTTAATACTTTCATATTTTATTTGCTGAAAACAAAATAATACTTTTGTAGAAAAATATAAAAAATAATAATAATTTTTTAGGTAGATCATTTAAATTAAAAAACGACATTGTACCGAAATACCCATATTTTTAGAAATGAAAGAAATAATGATCGAACAAGAAATAATGAAAGAATATACTGAACAACAAAATTTAGCTTGTTCGATCTCATTCGATATTGTGCAATCTTGTATGCAATAATGTGCAATTCATATACCTTTAATAAGCAATTATAATACATAAAAAAATATAAACAACAAATAATATTTTTTTTTATATAGTTCGGCCGGTTCAATTATATAGTTTATTTTAAGAAATAAAGCCGGCATCGAACTTAAATAACAATGATTTTAAAAGTAAAAACAGTTAACCTAACCAAACAATAAGATTTTGAATCGAAATTTTTAGTTCGATCGATTTGGGTGCAATTTGATAATATACAATTTATCTAGCACTATTGTGCACTTACATTAAAGACATTTTTAATGATTTGTTTCAAACAAACTAAAATTGAACTGAAATAATCAATTTAATCGATCGAAAAACTGATTATTTCAGTTAATTGAAATAATTTATTATTTATATTGTAAACATATTTGTAAGTGTTTCAGTACGTATATTTAATAGTAATGCTAGGGAGCCAACACATGGAGCTGTCCCACATTAGAGTCATGTGGTGGGACAGCCCCACATGGAGCTGTATAATTGGTTGTTGGCTCCGTAACGGAGCATTACTGGTATATATAATATTCTATATTATCTATAGTTGAAAAGACATATAAAATACAAAAATTGATAATGTGCAGTTCACAAACGCTAATGTACAATTCGTCTATCGTTATTGTGCAGTCTATTGAGATGGTATTTTTTATGTGCGTTTCACTTTTGAAAAAATTAATAATGTGTATTTCAGTCAACAATATTTTGCGTATAATAAAAAATATATCTAATATTTACAATTATTATTTAATATTATATATATATACAATATAAAAATAATAATTTTTATATAGCTCGATTGGTTTACTATTTCTATTGTAAAATATATATTTGACATATTTAATATTTTAATTTTTTATTTAATACAAAAAATATATAATATACATTCGCATAAAAATATATAAAGAATAATATTTTCTATAAATATTTTATAAACTGCAGATTTGCCCATGGATAAAATTGATGTTTTAATAAAATTATTGAAATTACAACCTGACCCCTATAAAATATCTAATTCTCAAAAACAAAAAAAAAAAAGATCAATTGTAGGCTCGTCAGCCCGGCCCTTGTCACCGGCTAATTCACGTCATCCGTCGTCGACTGAACCCCTCGCATAATCGTAAGCTCGACTTCAATTCTATGATTTCTGGTCTTCTGCTCTCCCGTCCGATTCTATCGTAAGCTCTGCTCGCGGAGACGTTGGAGGAATCGCTGCGGTGGAAATGCGGCATGTTAGGCATATACGGCAGAGCTGCGGCGCTGTCAATTCGCCCATGTTGTGTCGTTGGTGTCGTGACCATCGACGGCGGAGATGGGGAGGGCAGCATGTGGTGGGAGAGGAAGCTGAAAACGAAGGCGGCGGTCGGAGGTATCGGTGAGGCGGAGGCGGAGATTGGCGGATGGCGGTTGGGGTGGGCGGAGCTTTCGGGCGTCGCAATTAGTGTGTGCGGCTTTGTGTCGATGATATGAGTGTGTGTGTGTGTGTGT